GTGATAACGCTCTAGAAGATAGATAGACGTGATGACGAAATTGATTATGAAACATAATGGCTTAGCAATTTAATTTTAGTTTCGATAAACTATCCGTACAGTTTATGATTATCTATACAATGAGTAATGTAATTTCATTATCTTTACTTTCTTAAATTTGTTAAAAAGATAAAATTTCTGTTTGAAAAAATATCCTAAGTTCTTTGCTAGAGAAGTAATTGAAAATGTTAGCTAACTATAGGTCAGTCTTATTTATAAATTTGTAAATATTTATTTCCTAATTTAAAACATCAAATCCGTTGTTGACATATTTTAATCATAGGCAACCACGCACTAATATAACACATGTGGGTAGATGTGCTGAGTAAATATTATTCGGATATGGCTTAATTTGTTATTCTCATTATATAGTGCCTGCTCCTGAATTTAATGCTAATATTAGTGTAATAGAGCGATCATTAAGATGACTTGGTCATGTAACTACAGCAGTAAGCGAAAATAGTAATAACAAGTCATAAACTTCGTAAAGTTTGATCATTGAAATAATTCTATTCTCCAAATTTTAAATTAGTTATTATTTTTTGAGCTATAGCTATGTCCTACTAATATTACTTATGAGGCGTAGCTATTATTCAAAGCGTTTCTTTTATTGAAATATAATAAATTAAAAAAGCATTCGCAAACAAATATAACAAGTAAAGTATGAACCCTATGTTACCAATACAAAAAAAAGTCGTTGGTATCATGTTCATACTCAAAACAAATTAATCATTGATGAGATAAATAATACTTTAGAGTAATTAATTTAATTAAATCTAGTATTTATCAAATAATACAAGTAAACCCTTCGATTACCTAGCGCATTAGCTGCTATATTATTTACAATTACTGTCGATTAAAATTTTTTTTTCTATTTACTATTAAGACTAGTCCATTTGCTTTTTAATCTTATGCTATTACATTAACACATGCGGATTTATATCGCCTTGCTTTTCTTTAGTAAATTTTGGCGATTTGACGATGAAAGGGGTGAGATAACCGTAGTATAATCAGGAATGATACTAAAGATATAAAAAAATAATGTAGCAAACCTAACAGCCTGTAAATATGTTAGATTGTATGAATAAAACTGTCAAGAAGGCCCTAAACAAAAATTCCTTAGCATCTTATTATAAAGGACAATGGCCCAATTTAATAATCGATTACGCTAATAACGACTTCAGATCACGCATACTACAATAATTATTCCATTTACAACACAAACATATATTTATATTTAATTTTATTTTATAGGTTATAAAGGAGCGTATTTTTGGCTCATGAAAGTAAATTTTTATTTATTTTACACGAAAACATTCAACAGTAGCCTAAAGGGTACATTGCAGGAACTCAATTGTAATCAAGTCGTCGTTATACTTTATTCTTTAATGTCATAATAAATGAGAGCATACGCTTGCCTATTAATAGCATACTATCTGAGTACAGTATATGTGTATATTTCATATCACACCGTATTGAATGTGCGTATCGGCACTTCATCTGCTATAAAATAAATAAATATTATTAAGACAAAATATCTTAATTGCTGTTAACTTTAATATGAATTTCTACATGGATAGTATGGCAATCTTACTAGAGATTGGGATTGGATGATGCATTCATGATTATAATATCTTACGGAGAGTTATATATTATAATACTCTACATTCATAGATAAAATCGCTAATGTTGCTATACTCTTATGACTAGCACAAAATTTATGAAGCTGACTTAATCTTACAGTTGGCAATCATAGGATGTACCAAGTAAAATTAACGATTGAGCAATTACGTATCTTGTATTAAGTTTAGTACCTTCGGTAATTCCAGGTATTTATTTTGAAGAAATTATATATCGCAAGTATTTGATCGAAAGCAATGAAGAATTGGGTTTCAATAGCGAGCTGACGTTGTTGTTAATTAATTCTATTGCGTCCAGCAAAGTAGGCATAGACATTAGAATAGGAATATTATAATACTGAAGGCACTCTATCGTTGATCAAGCACTATAAAGATTAAAAAAATGATTCAATGTTCAATTCGATTCTGTAATTGTACCTATACTTGGCCTTGTTGCCATTTAACTTCAACTACTGTATGTTAAGATTGGATACTAAACAAACTGCTTCAATTCCGAATAACTTTTGGTGGAGCAGCAGTTACTCTTTTGCGTGTTCTTCGAACTTTTGACCCATTGTTAAGTATCTTCTAGTGATGCTGATGACGACAGCAATTTTCGTATAAAGATATTAAAAGGCGCTAGTGATTAGTGATGCCATCTTTGGGAATGTTGAAATACCATATTGTACTCGTATCTCTGCTCTAAGACATAATAAAACGGGAATTTAATGAGAATAAAAATATTACAGTAGGATGCAATGGGAATAAGAGCAGTGTATTTTGCAGGGGTCTATGCCTTGTACGGTATATTAGTTTCCATCATGCTTCCCTTGATTTCGTGTATAGCTTTAACCAGGGACATTATTATCGCTCAAAGTAAATCAAAGAAATTGAAGAATTTACGGTGATACAGGAAAGTTTGGAAATAATTTTCCATAATAAACGATGTTCAATTTTCATCTCAAGAGTATCCCTTTTAGTATTTATGATTGGATATTTGAAAAGTATCGAAGCTTTTACTGATATCAGTTAAGGTAGTTTTCAAACACAATTATATCCAATTGTATACTGTACCTTATGATGAATAGTGAACCCTAAAGCGAAATTCTTGAGTTGAAAATTGAACAGCCATCACTATGGAAAACTTGTTTCCAACCTTCCCATATCACTGTATAAAATATTTAAGTAATCGCAGTACAAGTGGTGCAAGTAGAGCTTATTATAGTTCAATAACTATACGATAGCCGTTATGGTCTATCACTTTTGGACGGAGCTAAAGTATAATGATCAAGCTATGAATCTTTCCATATCACCGTATAAAATTTATAAGTAATCGAGTGTACGAATAAGTGTACGAATGGTGCAAGTAGACTTTATTATAGTTCAATAGCCGTTATGTTGTATCACTCTTGGATGGATGCCAAAGTAGAATAGTCAAACTTTAAGTTCAATTCTTGAAGTGAAAATTGAACAGCTTTTACAATGGAAGATGAAACTTCCGAAAATTGGCTTCCAAACTCCCCCACGTCCCTGTAAAAATTGTACGTCATGTATGGACTAGATCCAAATTTGCAAATAATTGATGGTGTTCTATTAATGCTGCAGTTCCTTAGTTATGTCATAACGATTATGATCTATCCCTTTTGCATTCTGTCATATTTTACTTTTCAAAGTATAAAAGTAGGATGGTCGTTCTTCCAAGTTGATCCTAAAAGTACGAGTAATAGGAAATGTACATGTAAACATTAACTAGCACTGGTGCCAAGAATGATAGAGGCTATAATATCATTAGCCATTTATCTTCTAATCATGCACTAGTGTACATGATCAGATGCATAGATCATGATGATAATGCGCACAGAACCAGAACAATAATATAGTACAACTAAAATCGTACTAGGCCAAAATCGATTACATATACTGTATGCATATGTGTATTAGCGTATTCGGTTCAGAATCCTTTCTCTGTGTAGCAGCATCTCTCTTTCTCTACCTTGTACCTGACTGACTTAGGGCAATCAAGTTCTCTTCTCTGAAACAACTATCTCTCTCGTCTACAGTCTATAAGTAGAAAGATATATTACTGAGGCCGCCAAGAAATCTGCTACGAGCTAGGAATAGCCCTAACTTGCAACAAGGATTGAGAGAGACATTTCTACCCTATACTACTGTTATTTGGAGTACCAGTCAATAGGTATTCCAAGGCAGATAGCCCAAGGCCAATATTAAGGCAAATATTATATTGCATTATATTATAAGGCAGATATTAAATTTACTGCATCAGTATTAAAATAATCAATGGTTAATAACAGTTTAACAGATATATATCAAGCTATCCTACTAAGACATTTCCTCTAAACTTAGGAATTATGCTTTGAACCTTAACAACTTCGGAGGTGATAGATACAATCCAGTTGAACTGGTGGACAATTACTATTTTAGTCTATCTAATCCTAAATTAAGGATATCAAGCGTTAACCACTTAAGTTTGAACCTTAACAAGTTAGGAGATGATAGATACAATCCAGTTGAACTGGTGGACAATTACTATTTTAGTCTATCTAATCCTAAATTAAGGATATCAAGCGTTAACCACTGCAGTTACAACAATTAAGGAGACCGTAAAACATTTCTGAGGCATCAACGTATAGAGAAGGTAACATAGAAATAAAGTATCAATCACGAAGATTCCTTTCGTGACAAAATCCTACAAACATATCCGAGCTTGTTGGCTGCCATTGCAGTCAATTTTGCCAATATACACACAGTAAAAACAGACTAACAGTACAGTACTGTACTATGCAGACAGTTGGATTTGCGTTGTAGCTTTGGCCCGTCGTTTGCCTGTCCCTCCGTCCTGCAGTAGCCCGAGCCCATAGTATGTACTGTAGATTTGTTGTACTGTACTGCTAACTTACCCTACTCAGTACTGTAGACTGTTCATTTCCATAGTAACCAACGGAAATCCAATCATCGCTTAGTAAAATAGTATTCTGGTAGAGTGGATTCGGATTCAGTCGTGAGAGTAAAATAGAATCAAATCTATCGTCGTTGAAGGATTTTCGAGCCAGAAATGGAATGAAGATGGCAGCCAACTCGCTAATAAGCTGAAATCCAATGAATACAGTAGAGGTAATGATGATAATGCTAAACTAAGCTGTTCTCCATGTCGATTCTCAATCAGAAACTGTAATACAGTGTAGGTCCGTAGGTTGACGGACTGCAGGTATTTGTTGTATTATAGGTAGTTGCACTCCGATTGAGATCGAAACCTGCAGGAATGGAAAATTAGCTATCCAGTGAAACTCAGTACAAGCCAACATCATCTTCATCAAGATTATCATGGCTGCTGGCAAACGAAAAGCTCATAATAATGTCACTGAATATGCATGGGATTCAAGGGTAATCAAATATTCATATCTATTGTACAGCAATGATTCAATACCCTGCCATACCAATTATAATATGGATCTGTATTGAAATGATAGGATGAATATTTTGATGTTAAAGCGGTTAAACTAGATGATCAATATCTAGCTGAGCAAAAGAAAGCGTAAGCAAAACTAATTGATGTTATAATGGATCCTTATAATAGCGACTCAAGCATATACCAATTTTCCATCTTACAGGCTAGTCTCCAATCTCTTTCATGGTGTCTCCATCCATATTAATGGTTACACAAGTATGTTATGACATTGAAATCTAATCTATGCTGTCTTATTATCCTTGCCTTGGATCATCAAATCAATATAAAACATTCATGAATCAAAGTGAACTAGTAAAGTGATTATCAATACCTACATAAGTGACAATTCTAGATAGAGAACGTCATACTATATGTACAATACTAAAAATGATTTACAAACCAAGATGAATAGGGTGACTTTGCATCCAGTGTGCAAGTGTAATGTACCGCATAAGAGTACAGTATTTATTTCCTAAAATAATTCTCTATCTCCAATTCAATGCAATATATGGTAGAATCCTACTATGATGATTGATCACTGTTAACCATTGTATATTAATGGTAGATCCATCTGCCGAGGTATTGAAGCAGTTAATCATGATTCATGGTGGTAATTTTCAACAATACTACTCCAAGTCTCGTGTAACCCATATTATAGCAAGTAACTTACCGGATGTTAAAATAAAAGACTTAAAGTAAGCTACAATAAAAGTAATTGATACATTCGCTGCAAATGGTTACTATGATCACATCAATTATCTACTTTGAATCGATTCGTATTCTTAATACGTATTGTATATTAATTATATCAATGACCTGTATTGCTATAGGAAGGAGATTGTGGTAAAGCCTAGCTGGATTGTAGATAGGTAAGTTAGACTGCAAATACATGCTAAAATGATATAACTGGATAGATTACATAATAATTGATTTCGTTATCTTTTGCAGTATTCAAAATGGAAAAATATTGCCCATATACAATTACTTACTGGTGGATGGGCGTAGTGCATCACAAACGAAAATACAATTTACTGAGGCTAACTCAAGTGGTAAAAACAAAAATAATAATACAAATTGTAACTCCAGCTGTAGCAACAATTCTACTACTGTTAAGAGCCAAAATATTAAAACCGATTCACCAAAAGCTAAAGAAAAATTTCCTCCTGGTATCGCTAATACCGCTGATCCAGAATTTGTGTCGCAATTTTATAGTCGATCACGATTGCACTATCTAGCAACATGGAAATCGGAATGGAAAAATTATGCCAGTACTCTAGATAGAAATATTGATTTGGATAATCGTCGAGACGAGATACGTCAGCGTATCATTGATCTCAAAAGTAGTCGTAGCTCTACGATCAAGCATGAAAATCATGAAGTAACAGTTAAAGAAGAACCTTTACAATCATCAGCTGACCAGGCTATAATTGAATCGCCAAATTCACAAAATACTGGCAGAAAAAATTTATTCAACCGTGTTGTTATGCATCTCGACATGGATTCATTTTTTGTATCCGTAGCTATTCGTGATCGAGCCGATCTACGTGGATTACCGGTAGCTGTAACACATTCTAAAGGCAAGATTAAGCCAGCAAATCTGCAAAATGCTGATAAACTACAAGAAAAAGCTGAATTCATCCAAGAAATGGCTCACTGGGAAGATTATCATTCTAAGGATAAAGTTAAAGCAGAAAAGGCTAGCCATGACAGCCCTTCTAAGTCAAATAAAATAAATAATAATTTTATCAGTGCTAATGATAAAGAAAGCGTTGAGCAATTTTCTACGTCAGAGATTGCCTCTTGTAACTACGTTGCCAGACGATATGGCCTTCATAATGGCATGTTTATGGGTAGAGCATTACAACTTTGTCCTCATTTAAGAGTTGTGCCTTATGAATTTGATAAATATAAAGAAGTCTCTAAATTACTCTACAATACATTAGCCAGGTAATGAAGCAGTTATATGCTCTTTTAACTAACAAGCAATTAATAGTTGTGTTTACTAATCGATGGAATAAGTAATTTTTAATTTTGTTATATGTACCTTGGTAATAGTTACACTTTTGAAATTATGGCAATCAGCTGCGATGAAGCATACATCGATGTAACTGACATCTTACAAGACGATTACACTATACAGGATTTAGCATCAAGTATTCGACACGACATTGAAAGTAAAACTGGTTGTACCTGTTCTGCTGGAATCGGTAAATAATTGCCACGAAATGGAACTCGTTAACATTTCTATCAGTTTCCAATTACAAGCAGAAGTAGTTATAGATTTTTATATGCCTATGTGACCATTATACTGCTTTATCTTAGGTCCAAACCTTTTAATTGCCAGAATGGCAACAAGAATTGCCAAACCTAATGGACAACATTATGTTGATCCAGCTAATGTGTTAACTTTTGTCGCCAATCAATCACTCAAGGATTTACCTGGTTATTAAAATTGACTTATCAATTAAAATAACAGCTGCAAAAGCGATATCATTGCATAACTTTAATGAACTCGTCATTTACAACCTATAGAATTTGTAACCGGACTCGTTATCATTTTCAATCTACATTAGGCGTAGGATACCGATTACATCGGAAATTAAAAGATCTCAATGTGGAAACTTGTCAAGATCTTCGTAAAATTTCGTTACCTGTATTACAGAGAGACTTTGGTACTAAGACTGGGCTTATGTTATACCAATACTGTCGTGGTATTGACGAACGTCCAGTCCAAGTTGATCATGAAAGAAAATCCGTATCGGCAGAAATAAATTATGGAATTCGATTTGCTGAGGTCGACAATATTAAAAACATAGATTTATTTTCGAGATACGTTGCAATTTGATTATTTACTGCTCCAAATGATTATAGTTTAAGCTAAATGTCGTTGATTTCTGTAGTCAAAAGACGTTGAAGTATTTGTAAAAAATTTAAGCGTTGAAGTTGTAAAACGCCTCAAAGAAGCAAGTGTTAAAGGAAAATCGATTACCTTAAAGGCAAGCTATTGTTTTCATACGTTTGAAATTTGTTATATCGCAGAACAACTTCCATTTTCATGAAGGTTTTGATATTGATACGCCCTACAGATGAAGCATCGTAGCCCAGATGCCTCAATTAAACCTTGGAAATATTTAGGTCATGGAAAATGCGATAACTACGCAAAATCGACTACCTTAACACGACCAACTTGCGACAGCGATATCATTAGCAAAGAATGCATGAAATTATTTTATTCCTTTGCAAGTATTAATGTGCAAGATGTCCGTGGTGTAAGTAGCAGCGCTATTAAATCAATTTTAAATTAAAATCTAAATTTTTTCTTACTATGAATTATAAAGTATGCCAAATCATTATAAATTTATAGATGGGTATTCAAATACAACGATTGTCACCCATAGATGAAGATGTTAAAGGTTCGCAAGGTTTACTGAACTTTATAAAGTCTGTACCTCAAGTAGAAGAAAATGTAAAGGCACATGAACAAATCGAACCATCAGACCAAATTGAAGTTATCCATGATCAATCTATACCGACAACTAGCATAGCAAAGCAGGAAGAAATCACTGATTCCAATCGTCACATAGAAGCGCAAAATGATGAATCATTCGATCTACCTTCTCCTTCACAGGTAATCATTGTTTCGCAATCGTTAAGATATACAATTTACTTCCTGCAATCAAATACAACTTCATTATTGATTTATTTGTACGTTCTCTCTTGGCAAATGCGGATTACTATAGAAATTTTTAATTGCATCTTCTCTAGCTTGACCATTCTGTTTTAGATGCTTTACCAAAGGAAATGCGATTAAAAATTGAACAGAAATACGCTAAAATGTCGTCAGAGTAAGCTGTTTCAAGGGCTGTTTCCTGTTATCGTAGAAGATTCTTGATATTTTTATTGCTTCTTTTACTAAAATTAGAGCACAAATTAAAGTTGAACCTTCTACCTCTGCTACCATTGATGCTAACTCTTCCGTAAGAAAATGCTCTGGACCTTTCCATGACAAATAAAATATTTCGAAAGTGGAGTTCAAAATAATTTTTCTTAAAAGCTATTAAAATATTGAATTTTGATTTTACCCAGATTGATCCTATCAACCTTGGTGCTATTGCAGACGTTTATCGTCATATAAATTATAATGAAGAAATACCACGTAAAAATGTTAAACAACGAAAAAAGCCAAAAAGAAATATTAAAAACAAATTTCGTCGTAATAAATCAGATCAATCTATTCCTAAAGAAAATAAAGAGGACAAACTCGATCGTGATATTATTGTACTCGATTCGACCGAAAGGAAACCGAAAATATTGCCAGATCAAACGAACGTCATCGAAGTAAATACTGGTCTCATCAAAAAGGGTTACATTCTGTGCCTAAAATATCAGTAATATTTTCGTAATGATATTCCTTTATCTCCATTTTAGCCTGAATTTTGCGGTGCCACTGAAATAAATGAAGTGAAAAAAATTATGGCTGAATGGGTAGACGCATGTCTTGGTTAGTGGTATCTAACTAACTCTAATTTTCATCAATCAAAGAATGGATAACAAATAGTGTAAGATTTTGACTAATATTTAAATAAAAAATGACTTATTAAAGATGTTGGGCCAACTGAAACTGATATCGAATATTTGATGTCCTACGTTGAACGTTGTATTTCATCTAAAAACCTTGAAAATGTTTGGCTTCTATGCAAATTATTGAAAAGGTAAGAAATTTACTTTTCGGATAGGACATACAATATTACTTTTTCAGTATATTTATTTATCCAATTTCTAACACTGCGTAAAACTGCGCATACTAATACAATGATTTGTTTTATTTATAAATGATAACCATGTTATGCAGGAAAACTGTAGCTCATGCTGCGTGGTATCAGATTTTTACATCGATCCTTGATCGAATCCAAGACATCGTATCATCACAGTATGATGGCAGCAGGTTAAAGCTGTCAATATTGTAATTGCAGTAATGCTATTTTTTATCACCATCGTCTTAATGTTGAAATATTATTATTTGCATTACTTGTAAAATAGTCTGATATTTACTTAAAAATCGTCTTCTTTGTTAGATGATCCATCTATTAATTATAATTAATTTGCCAATAAAATGCGTCAGAAATAAAGTTCATTTTACTTAATTCAATCCATTTCGATATTGCATTTACACCATTGATTACTTTAGTAATGTTTATTATTGTGGTCAGAGTGATTGCAATATGGAAGTCGATATAGAAGAAAATTGAGAAACATTCCAATACTAGGAGTAAAGTTTGAATACAGCGTAATAATTAATTTCGTAATTTAAAGCTTACAATGCAATTAGAATAGTAATAATACTTGACTTAAATCTTCTTTTACAACGTGATAATATAAATATCATAATTTCTATCAAAAGGATAATGTGTTTGATCGATAAAGATATATACGCGTATAAATAATATTAAATTGACTTTTATATGCAGATTAGATTATTTGTTTAAGCGTAGATTTGTATTAGGTTGGAGTAGAGGTACTCCAAATCCCGTATTATTTTGAAATGGATAAAACGAATAAGAAAAGAAAAACAATCTTAAATGATAACATAGTGGTGCAGATTTCTCTTTCAAAAATTAATCAATTTTCGTGTGATAATACCGACAAAATACAATATATAGGTTAAATAATTTTATATCATTATCTCGGTATACATCAAAATAACGTGAAATTATGTTTATTTAAAGAATATGTATACCCAAGCTTTAATTATTTATAATTTGAATCGGCGGAAATGACAAAATTAAGTTCGATATTGCTTACATAACAGACGAAAAATTTTAACATTTTGTTTTTCAGGTGAAAATCGTTTTGCTAAAGAAATGATATACTCAAAAAAATTAACATAAGAACTATTGCAGAATAATATATTGAAAAGTAATTGCATTTGTTACTAATGTTTGACTACAAGCTTAAAAGTTTATAGCATGCAAGCTTAATAAATAATAAGTACCTTTGGTCTGACGTGCTACACTCAATTTGCAATCAAATAGGTGATTATTACTGTATTAAATATAAACCTACAGTAAATGCTTTTGCCTATCACCAACGTACAAATAAAATCGCATTACGTAAAAGCAATTTCTCTAAAAGCTTGCAGTATGATACTTTGGAAACCTAACCAATTACAGTATATAAAAACAAGCAAAAAAATCTACTGTGCGGTAAAACTGATTTAACAATCGTGAAAGAAAGGAGATTTACCCCTAAACTTTTGTATCGATGTATAATGGAACTATCAGAAATTTTACGACAGTTTCCATGAGCTCTTTCGCCAGGAAAATTAATCATTCTGATAGATTTGATGATCGCTACATAAACTTTGGGAGATTAAGTTCCCGGATATTTATATGAACGTGAACGTCTTTTTACGAACGGAAGTAATTTTACTTTACGCGATCGGTGAAAATTTTGTAACATTGGCATTTGATTACGGAATGTAATTCGAATCTGTAAATGAATTAGATGCGAAAAATTATTTATATTCACGACATCCTCATTGATTATAATATATGAAACTATTATGAATCTATTATACCGTTGATGGTGGCTGAATCCAAGGTTCTCCATCAATTTGCATAGGGTATTCTTTCTTGGTTCTACAGTAATCAATAGTATAGAGTATAAATATTATATCATCTCGATAACTTTACGTACAAAGAATGGCGTCCAGACTAAAAAAACCTCAACTTTAGCACTTCTATATATCTTCTTTTACCGTATAACTATATTTGATGCTTGAGCTAGTCGCACACCGTGTTCACGTAAGCCAGTAATAAGCTGGCCAACATGACTAGCGTTCTCTAAACCGACGACTTCGAGTAATCGATCATTCGGAACTAAGGATGCAATAAATTAAGATAAAGTTCAGGAATCATAAGATAATGAAGGACAACATTTATTAAGCTTTAAACCTTGAGGCACAAATCTATGTGAGCTCTTCTGAGCTTCTTTCTTCTTTGACTTTTTCTTTTCGCTAGTATTACCCCATATATTTGTACCACCATACATGCTGGGAATATTTAAAATCACGATTCCTTCTAATGATGTATCGGTTAAATCGATTGCCTTTCCGTCGCACTGTAAATGTAAACGCTTATTTTTAGTTTATCTTACCACTGAATAACATTGAATATAAGGTATTGCAGAATGCAGATTTCACATACAATTACGTCTATATGAGAGTTTAAACTTTTGCAGCTACTAGATAAGCGCTCTTCAGCACCACATCCAAAATAAAACCACTTGTTTTTTATCCTAAAATAACGGAATGGATTGAGTAAATTATCTAGAAAGCGGTACAACATTGGTTAGCGTTGTTGGGAAATCCAAGATTGATATTTTATTACCTGCTACTAAATTTTTCTGGATTCTTCTGTCTCATGGTATGAAATTTGTGCGCAATAGAAGCATCTACACCGATCGAATAGTAATTGTTAAACACATTTAGTGGTACCGGCTCGCCTCTACCTTCAAGACCCTCAAATGCGGAGATATCAATATTCCACCTTGGCATTATTGAAGAAAGTAAGACGTTGAAACATTGTATAAAACATAAAACTAAAGTTGAAATGTATCCATTCATTCTCAAAGCATTGCCATAAATCGTATTAACTATCCTAAATCTCTTACCTATCTAGAGATACTGGAACAGCTTGCTCAATCTGCTGTAATATTTTAGAAAGATTTCCACCGTCGTAACCACCACCCCAATCCAACCATCTTGCAAGATCATTTCCAGTTCCTAAATTATAAAAAGATATCAATCTTCAACGTCTAGTAATTAAACTTAAAAATGTAGTATATCTATCTACTAAAATGAGGCTGAATAAGTTGCATTGTAATGTACATCGAAAACAAACATTGCCATAGTAGCGCCTACCTAATGGCAAGATTGCAATAGGCGGTGGAGGATCTATCTCCATCTTATCTGAAAAAATTTATGTTACCAAATGTATCAGACCAATTAAAATCATCTAATCTCTTACGCTCCTAAAGCATGTCAAGATCGTAGTTAGTAGGATCGCGACACATTTAAGATGATTTTCTAACCGATTGTTGCTAGAACCCAGCCAGCTGTTCCATCTCCTCCACAACAAAGAACGCGAAAATTGGGTACATTACGAATAAATTTCAAGCTGTTTGATTTGTAATTTGAAGAATGCCACATGTAGTACAGTATATAAGTGAAATAATATAGAATTAGAATTAGAATTAACACCTTATTGTCATCATCTAAAGTTTATTAGCTTTTATGTACTGGAATAATTTGGTATACCAGTAGATATTCAATAAAAAAATTCATACCCTGGCGTTGGACCACCATCTAGCAAGTTATATACTTGCCTAGGATTTAATAGATACTGAAATTTTTGTAGCGTTCTAGAAGATAATGTAACAAAATAGATATAATTTTTCATACACAAAAATTTTATGTTTCCGTGAAGCGCAGCCATAAACCAAATCACCCACCAAATAATAACTTGAAGTACAGTACTGTATTACTACAATTTTAACTACTGATAAAGCATATAAAATTACTATTATTAATAATGATATTATTTACCTCCTTCCTTGCTGACCGCCACTCTTTGGGTTAACGTAAACAATTAAAGGCACAGAATTTTCTAATGGTGCAATCTAAATTTTTAATTCAATTTTCGTTCAGAAAGATATTATAACTCAAGTAAATTTACTTCAAAGAATATGAAAAAATAAAATATCGGCCGATAAAATGAGTACCTGCATATCTAATCCGTCCATATGAGAAGAATTAGTCGGCGGTGGAGAATCACCAACACTACGATGCCTTTCCTTTACAAGAAATGATACATATGCAGTGTGTAAATGTAATAATTACGATAATGACATTGTTAACTTATTTAATAGTGCGATGAATTTAAGAACGAACCAGAACTTTCGGACAAATAGCGGTAGGCGGCAAAATCAAATTTTTATGTTTTCCGAGATCGCATTCAACAGTAATACCACTTAAACATTTATCATGCAGCTATAAAAGTATAAATTTTATGACGTCGTCACAGATTTTCACGTAACTTGAGAATTTAATTCATATTTTTGCGCTACAAAGATACATTGCATGTGAGTGAAATTATTAAGATATTAATGAAGTTGCCTACAGTTAAATGACACCATGCACATCGAACTCCTGTAAGCCTTTTATAACTTTTTATCGACTTTTGGCAGCGATCACATTTACCAGGACAATTTCCAACTACCCAATGATGCTCCAATTTTTGCTACAATAACAATTTATAGAATTTGTTAAAAATAGTCATGATAGCATTTGTAAAATTTTTAAAAAATAGTTATTACTTCCCACATCGAACTTACATGTACTGCTCGGCTTGATTTAACGTAAGTGTTAACACAAGAAGTGGGAGCTTTCTGAACGCATCTTTCATGTACGGTAAATTTACAGACTGAGAAGCAAAAAATAATGTAACTTATTATAATAGTACCTTGCTAATACAAGCGATGGATTTAGATAAGTAATTTTCTTACAAATCTTATTATTTCCTTGAAAAGTAAATAGATTGATTTACAAAAGGTAAACTTTTATTGTATAACTTACATGAACAAGTCAATCCTTGCTTTCCTAATCCTAATAACATACCCAAACAGAAGTTACAAAAAGCGGGCTTTCGAAATTTCTTCCAACGCCACTACCAAGAACATAAAATAGATAAATCAATATAGATAGTATAGGTAAGACTCTTAAGCGTTCAACAATAGTTAATTTGCGTATGGACTTTTCAATTATTATACTAGATATTTATCAACTTCTAACCTGGTGCTGACAGTTTTCCCGTACTTGCTGTAATATGTAGATAATATTATAAATCATTGTTTCTCATATCAAGATTAATAAAATTAGACAAAAAGTGTTCAATTGTGCTAATGATATCATATGTATACGGAAATAAAAGCTATTTCTCAGTATGGAAACATAATTTACCGTATCAATTCCAAGTAGTACTAGTAATGGGATATTATTACTACCGCCTTTAATCCATTCATCAAGAGAAATTTTCTTATCGTTATTGCAATCCAGTTCTTGTAACATGTCTTCCAGTATCTAAAGGAATAGTAGTACGGCAATAATCAAAGCGTTACGGAAAGTATAATGAATAATACAAGATTCAACAATAAGTAATAAATAGATCTTACTGGTTCAAGTTCTGAAACATCCCATCCTAAATATCGTCCTACTAACAACATTTGCTGGACTATGTTATCCAGCTCCTACGAAATGTATAACGTAAAATGAATCGATAGCACTATGTTATAACTGGCAGCAATATAATCATACGATATTAAAAGCTATAATATTTATGAATCTTAACAGACTTACATGTGTTTCTAAGTAGTCACTGTTATCACAATCATATAGACGGAACATAACTATACATGAAAAAGAGGAGTGTTTAGTAGCGATTTCTTAGAGCAATTTATATTTTACAATGGTATTATTGCAACGTTTACATGGTAGCATGTATTCAATGCATAATTTACATTACTTACACTCTAGCTTGTCACTAGGCGAACCAGCCTTGAGCAACGATAAATAGCACATTACTTCAGCAACTGAAGGTAAGATTGCTTCGTCCTCTAACTGCTAGATATTCATAATACCAGGGTTGATGTAAATTAATACAATATTAACAAAAATACCAATAGGTATGATGTAATGATTATGCGCAATATTTCCAGTTATTTACTTTACGATCGCCCTTAGCTGAGATAGTTACGGATTTTACAGATGAGTTGTTTTTAGTGGAAACTGGAGTATCTCTTGCATTTTGGTTATGACTATTCCTTTTGGTTAGGTCCTTATTATTCGAGTATTGCTCATAATTGTTCAAAGTTCTATTAAGTTAAGTAATCATAATAATATCATGATTGATGTTAGATACTGCGCTCAATAAAGTGTTTTATATTTTTAATGTTTCAAAGTAACACATTATAATTTTGTCCCCATCAAGAAACAACGACACGAATCCTTACCCAGAATTTGCACCAGAAGTTGCTGATTGTATTTCACTACCTGTTGATGTAACCGAAGCATTTATAGCATTTTGGTCATCTCTTCGATGATTATAATTAGCCATATTTGGCGTTGAAGGAGAAGATAATAGCTGAGATTGCCTTAATAGTAATAGTATGAAATTAAAAGATGATCAATTTTAAACTACTATTTATTATAAAAATTCAATATATACACGACTAATTAGGTATGATGTATCATATAGATACGTTATATCATCACACTATTTAAATAAATACTGTATACTCGGTATTGTATTCTTAATCGAACCTATTCGACGGGGCAGGAGTGATAGAATTTTTCCTACTGAGAGATAGAGGAGGTTTATGTGTGCGTTGCAGTGCCAAGTACATTTGCTTAGGCAACTGGGAGGTTGATAGATCACATTCCAGAAAAGTGATTAAAAATGCTTCAAAATCTTCATATAACATTGGCTAGACATTAAGAGATTATTACAAAAGTTAGTATCAATGATATTTTATAAGATCAATATTTCAGTTACGTCACATATCACTATACTATGTTACTTGATAACATCAGCAGCAGTATCGTTCAAAAATGTGAAGATATTGTATTAAAAAGCCACAATGAAATTTACAACTTGACGTTTTTCATTACAGAGTGTAGCATTACCTTATTGGGAGCCAATCGTTCTGCAACCTCTTGCGATGATGACCTAAAATCTTGCAGAACGTCTTTAACATTTTTCCTAGCATCTAAAAACGGTGATTACAATTTTATAGTTACAATTTCATGAAAGTTATTGCAAATGCATGATCTGTATATAATTATAATCCAGATGATATTAGTGAGAAAGATTAGATAGTTATATAATCCAAATAACAGGAAGTGAGGAAAAATAATTGTACTCGTAATAATGTAGTAGGGAAGACCTAAAATGATTGTAATTGTCGTTCCGAAATATTCTTCTTCGATCTATACGAGTCTATTTAAGTAATCACTATCAAGATATTTATGTTCAGGTAAGCAATATAGCGGTTAACGTACTTGGCTAATAACATCATGAATTACTTTACACTTTATAGGTATAGGTAGTTTACTCTATAAGTATTAGTCTACACGTTAATGTGGTACTGTAAGCCGCTGTGGATACCAATAATAGATTAATTAATGCCTTCAATGAACTACTATTTCACTCTCTTGTAAAAGCGTTTTAATTATGTTTCAATATGTTAATAGGATCCAATACCAAACCGATAATTTAGAGTAGGTATAACATAGTCTGTTCACATTGTTGTTAAAAATGCTTCAATTGTGTTTACTCCTTCGCTTGTAAATCCACTTTTCGTTACCAATTCAAAAACGAAGATATTAGAGAATCAAGTCATTTCAGTGACAGCAGATTATGCATTAAGTTCTAGGACAACACGGTTTTAGGTAGTTCAAAACGAATAATTTTTGTCACAGGATATAAAATTTCAATCGATATAACATCATTTACGCGTATGTATACTCTACTTGAACCATAACTGAATTAAGATGTTATTAGGAAAAGCAGTTTTACGAGTAATGGATTATCCATCTACCTCTTGAACTCTTATTGTGGTAAAAAGTAATTGTTACTCTATCAGTGTACTATATCCTAATATATTGTCCGACATCTTAGCATACCATATTATTTTGTCCTTTATTGAAAAATTTGTTTGATGTTCGTACTATATTATTGTCAACTAACTGTATAAGAAGCGATGAAAAAGGATTAGAAAGTCATTTTGTAATACGAAAACACTTCAGTTATTATAATAGCCAAGATTACTGTCATATTGCAGTATATAGAGAGAGAGAAACTGATCGTAAACATTCGTACAATAGACAGTATGGGTAGCAATTGCCAAATTGAGGAATAGAGAAAGTCTTTCTATCAAGTGTAACAACTAAATAGTTTATTTTGCAGTCTGAGCCAGAGCCTAACCTATACGCTCGATTATGACTACACATAATAAATTATACTTTATGCTCATTGCCAACATCCAACAATATAAATGAATACTAAATTATTCTAACTACGGTACAAACGTCGAATTTAAGGCAACACCAATTACAATCAACCATTACAGCCAAAAAATAGCCTTGGTATGGTTAGATGGAAAGTCAATTCTTACTGGTTCAAATCGAATTATATACTCCTGTTTCCACATATCGCATAGGACATACACGGTATTTTATTGCAACCATATTGGAAAATTGTTGTCCATAATAAGTACAAGCACAAGTATTTACGCGTGTTGTAGTCATGTAAGTTAGACTATAGCTCAAGATATGCCACATTACACCACGATCAAGGATAAAAATGGAATTTGACAATTATTAGAAAAGGAATCAATAACTCTTGCTGTAACATGATAAGTCTCTCTGTCGCTTTTAGATAACAAGGTAATCAAGGATAAAAATGGAATTGGACAATTACTAAAAAAGGAATCAATAACTCTTTGCTAGAACACTGTAAGTCTCTCTGTCGGTTTAGATAAAGGGGCACATGGTCAATTTTAATATTATACCATCGTAAGCCGATGGAATATTAGCAGCAAGCAATAAAAATTGAGCTCAATTTATCCTCCACTATCAAGCTATACGACGCTATATGTACGTATAGCACGAAAGTAGCACTATTTCAAGATGTAGTATCCAACCGTAAGCTACTCGTATGGCAGTTATTCGTCTATTACAGGATCCTTTCCATATGAAATTTTTAGTTGCAAATTGGATAAGATGCGACACCGATTTTGGCCTATCTTGATGTCGTACTAATATCAATAGTAGATCATGAGTCATTGATAATGAATAGGTAAGAATAGGAAACCCTTGGATAAAGTCAAAAGATAAACTTTTAGACCAAGGTTGATTGAAAATACTCACGATTTCTGTGAACCACTAAGCTAGAAATAATCAATAGAATGATCATTCTTGGCTAAATAGTCAATTAATGAAATAATACAATTGTTCATCCAAACAGAGTAGGCAAGTAAAAAGGAGAATAAAAATGATTCATATTCTATTGATGGTATCAAATTAAACAAGAGAATTTTTCTATTTTAATTACTCAACCAGTCATAGAAAGAGTCAAGAGAGTAGAATAGTAGATTATTGTTGAGACAGCTGTAGCGGGAGAAAAAAATAGATTCTAACGACAAAATAGTGTAAAAGTATAATTGAAATGAATAAATTATTCAAGTCCATGATTGATCAAGTAGAATAGTCATACGTATAAAAGTATCCACTAGTAATCCAAATAGATCCATGCAATCTTTGAAGATAAATCATTATGGCAGCTCCATTTCTAGCATACAATACTGTATATCACTTATTGCATGTGCAAAGGAAGATGGATTGATTTTATGTTATGCCAGTTTTATTACATGAATCTTCCTATCTCCATTAGAATACATGAATTGACTCATTTGCAGTCATCATATTTGAAATTATTTTTCTTGCACTATTTTATACATACATCAACATAGTTTAGAGACAGATAATAATGCATTCAAATCGGAGTAAACATTGGAGAGGTAGTTTTAAATATTGTAGCAATTGTATTCAGATCCGGAGTTAACATCATTTGTCTATCTAATGTCAATAGTATAGGAAGTAAAACTCATTTTTTGTATACAAGGTTCTTTTTTTGAAGTATTGAAAGTATATGATGGTCAATTTGGATAAGATTATCATTATTATGATTATTGAGTCGTCAAGTTATCCCTGATACTTGATAATAGAGTATTAGTCAAATTGGCATATGAACTTTGTATACCGGTCTATCAGAAACTGGACGTTGATTAGAAAAGGAAATCGATCACGATGTAGTCAAAAAATGGAGTTTAAATCAGCAATAAAACGATAGCAGATGATCCTGAGATTATTTCCCATGACTATTGCAATAGTATACCCTTCCAATGGCTATTTAATGTAGAATACATGACTATGAACAACGTTTGATTAGAAAGAGAATTCAATAAACAAACAAACAAATGATGAAAACGGAATTGGAATTAGGAATAAAACGACTGCAAAAGGATTATTCCTCTCATCATCCGTAATGTATAGTCTAATGGGTATTAAACTGCTATACTTGATTCTCAATCGTTGTCGATTAGAAAGAGAATTTCTAATAGCAGTAGTAAAATAGAATTAGAATCCAGGATAAAACGATCAGAGAATGATCTCAGTCAAGGATGATAAAATGATTCATACCCCAAAATGATTAGTCATAACATGGGTAAGAAGGAGAATTTCATAAACAACAAGTAAGATTGAATCAGGAATAAAAGGAGAGAAGACTATATCCTACGATTATTGATTCACTACGATGATTGATTATTATTACTCCTTTGAAACGAAGCTACAGCGATGGCAAATATGGAAATATGGAAGTGCAAATTCTTTCCTTGCTAATCGATTATTGTTAGTGATCAAGTAATGCAAGTTTATCATCATCGTCAAATTGACCGATATGATCAAGCTACAGCAGTGGCAAGGAGTAGCTAATCCATTTTACGTAGTCTATGTCGATTATCCTT